AGAGAGAGAGAGAGAGAGAGAGAGAGAGAGAGAGAGAGAGAGAGAGAGAGACAGAGACAGAGACAGAGACAGAGAGAGAGAGAGAGCGACAGACAGACAGACAGACAGACGGGCATACAGGCGCAAAGAGCAGGAGATGCATAGGCCTACAGAGATTGTGGGATAGGCTGGGGGACCAGATGTCTCATCCATATTTTGCAGCAAGTTATCACATGCAACGAGCACGGTAGGCTACGTGTTGAACGCTTTATTCCCTTTCAGTGAGGGCTGGTTTTCTTTTTTAGTTGTCATTTTTTGGGGTCTATTTCGTTAGGACCGGGACTGCTACAACTGACAACTATCTCCTGAAAGGATACAAAAGCCAGGGAAAGACAACTCTGTCCTTAAGAGCTACTTGTTGGTTGTTGCTCATCACAGAAGAACATCCAGGGGGTGAGTAATAAACAGTTTTGCATTATCGTGTAGATTTGTAAGTTTTCTAAAAATAGTGTCTTTACCTGTTGTTTTTATTGCAACGAGAAGGTTTTCAAATACAGAAAAACATGAATGCATTGTTGGAGAAAGCTTGGAAGTGTCTGACAGCTCTGCAGCGTTCAGTACTGCACATCATCAACAGGATCAATACTTTCCAAATTGTATCTCAGGCTCTTCTTTAAACACGGAAGCACTGTGGTTATTGTTGATTTTCTCTTACTCAAACTGATCAATTTACTACTGGGGGTATGTGGTGGAAATAATGCTGACTTCTGTATCCCTGAATCTGCTGAACAGTGGAGTTTATCCTGCAAAATGAAAATTTGTAATTTATAATTTTAAAACCCAGGGTGACCTGGTGACCCCTCCTCCCCCACACTCCACACACAACACACACAGTATGATTTTAGCTTTGTGCCTACTTTGTTGATGCTCACAGGCTTCCTTCCTCCTTTTTGTTTGGATTTAATGGATTAGATTTAGCTATCATGGAGCAATGTTTCTTTTTTAAAACCAAACTGTAGTTGACTCAGACAATCTAAAAGGAAGTGGCTATTATTCTCATCCGGGGTGAGAATAGAAAAACAATCTACCTCTCACCCCGGGTGAGACTTGCCAGCGTAGGCTATTCTCACCCGGTGCGAAACTAGACCTGCTTTTCCTCATTTTGGAGTGTCTATCGGTGTGGATGATCATATTGATAAAAGCCAAGAAAAAATTACGTTATAGCACAAAGTAAGCTAATTTGATCGTCTTCAAAGATGCTATGGCTATTTCACTGTTCGAATCGAGCCGAACTACGCGGGTCGCCATTTTGTTTTGACCGGAAGTTCTCGCGCTACTCCTCTCTCTCTCTCTCTTTCTCTCTCTCTCTCTCCACTGCCCACAGACAAAATTGTACGCTTTTAGTAGGCTACAGACAGTTGTAATGGAACGTTTGTTCACGGCACAGAATTCTACAATTTTTCTGTTGTCACAGTGTAGAATTCTGTTGTTTAGGGTGAACGCAAAATTTGTTGGCCTAGATCTAGGCTATAACGGTGAACGCGCACCGGGTGAGAATAGCCAAAAGACTCGCCTGCACTATTCTCACCCCGGGTGAGAATAGAGGTGGCCATCTAAAAAGGCCGGCACTATTTCTCCGAACGTTTGGGAAAATAAAGCTGGACACTATTTTTCCGAACGTTCGGGAAAATAAAACTGGGCACTATTTCTCCGAACACGCTGAAATCACATCCTTTCCTGCAAATTTCGGATATATATATATATATATAGATCTATAATTATGTTATGGGCCTACGAAAGATTGTTCGTATACAATATGGTTCAATCAGTCCAAAAAATGTCAGCAGTAAATATTTATATTAATTAAGAAATGCTACAGTTCCAAACAGTTTTTCTGCTACAGATATGACATGTTGCCTATATGAAGGGTGCTGCTCTTAAATTTTTTGGTCGCTACCCGGAATCGAACCCGGGACCTTTGAATGAGAGGCCAACACCTTAACCTCTAGGCCACGAGAGCCCCCTTCTTTGCGTTTTATCCCTTGTCTTGTGTTTCACAAGATCTGAAAAAAAATTCCTTCAAAACGTGGAAAATAATTCCAGGGTGAAAAAAATTAAAGATTTATTGAATGCCCCTTGTACATGTTTCTAATGTCAACGTTAGACTGGATTCATCTACAAAGAAAAAGATCAAAAGATATTTAGCTGACTTGTCGTATACCTAACACTTCCAAGTCAAAATTAATCTATTCAGATTCATAACAGATTACATTAGTAGTTATGCTTCATGCACCCTGTGATCTGACCAGATGCTGGGACCGTCCATCAAGGGACTGGGCGAGTTTTGCTGCATGCTCCCATCTCCACTATAGAGTTTTAACGTCTTTACCCTGACTATGAAGTAATTGTTGAACATGATGAAACTTGGAGAATGCGATATGTTTTTTTTTTAATGTCGCAAAAGAGGTTGGGGAAAATGTGGATTCATAACAGATTACATTAGTAGTTATGCTTCATGCACCCTGTGATCTGACCAGATGCTGGGACCGTCCATCAAGGGACTGGGTGAGTTTTGCTGCATGCTCCCATCTCCACTATAGAGTTTTAACGTCTTTACCCTGACTATGAAGTAATTGTTGAACATGATGAAACTTGGAGAATGCGATATGTTTTTTTTTTAATGTCGCAAAAGAGGTTGGGGAAAATGTGAGTGGGTGGAAACTTGAGAGTGTACTTTTAGTGAAGGTCGTTTTTGAATCCCAAAAGATAACACCATATTCCAACAATGGAATCTTTGTGAATATCACTCTGTTATCAGATGTCTTTATTTACAAGGAAAATCACCATTGACTAATTTAAAGGAGATGTTAAGTGTTCACCTTACTTAAAGCCCTGCCCTTATTGTGAAACTGTTAAATATTGGTTAAATTCCAATCAGGCTGTCTTCATCCTCCATCCCCATTGCTAAAGAAGCCAAAGGGGCAACCTTGAAGTGGACTGGTTATGCTGTCCTGTTTTTGGGACAGTGAGGATGTCATTATGACCAACAATTTTAGAAAATAACCATACCATAACTGGGCACACATGGAATGACATCAAGCGACTAGCCCAGGATAGGGAAAGGTGGAAAGTGTTTGTTCGTGGCGTTATGTCCTGATCCAGGGTGAGAAAGGCAATGATGATAACTGGGCACTATTTATTTGGCATTGTTGATGAAACTATGATATAACTTTGGCTAAGAAAAGATGACAGAAGCTGTGAGAAGGAATCTTCCCGTTGCATGACAGTTCTCCAGTGCACAGAATGGTGAAGGCAACTCAGATAGTAAAGTAGTGTGTCTATAAAATTTTCCCACTCCCACCCTGTTTATGGGATATAGCAGTGTCTGACTTTTTCCTGTTCCCAAATCTTAAAAAAAAAATGCTTAAAGAACAGTGTTTCCATGGTGATAATGATGCTATATCTGCAGTGCAAGAATGGTAGGGGTCCAATCTGTGGTCATATTCTGCTCAATGACTTTTGAAGGTCAAACAAAGATGGCAAAGGTATGTCCGTTTACAGGGAGAGGAAGCATGATGCGTGCTAAATTTCAACTTTCTAGCTTTCTTCTTTTGTCATGGTGATGGGAAAGACTTATTGATCGCCCGTTGTATTTGTGTGCTGGACCATATGAGCACCTGCTGTTAATGCTTGGTTTCATTAACCAATGCTTTGCAATGTGCTGTGGTAATGCTCAAAACCAAAGTCATAAGTACATTAGGTTTCCTCAGCAGTGAACGATTTAATTTACAACAATGTTCTTTGTTTAAAATTTTCAGGAATATACCTGTTCAAAAGACAGAAACAGTGCTCTTGGTGCGACAATTGAAAGTTGAAACATGGATCTCATTGAACATTTAAAATCCAAGTATAAAGTGAGTGTGGTTTTTCATCAACCTGTTGCTAGATTGGGCAAGGAACACATTTTTAGCTTGTATGAACCATTTGTAGCACAACTTCTAAAACTTCTGGGTAGCAAGTTTTGATGAAAAAAGGTCTTTGGTCTTGTGTGCTGGTCTAAACATTCATTTTACTTTAATTAACAAGTATAATTTTACAGGATGTAAGTTTAGAACTTATATTAATAAAGTTTAAAGGCATCTGCTATACTATTATTTACACTATGAATATAAACACAAGTCAATCTTCCACAGAATCAAATCCTAACGGGTGTTCATTGTTTGAAACACTTTTACCAAGTTTTGTTACTGATTTGATAGGTTGTGGAAATTATTGAAGGACTTGAGATCAGGAATTTCAATCATAGCTGTTTTTCTTGAAATCTTGATTTATGATGTTATTGTAGAACCTGATAACTATATTCAGTTTCATGAACTCATTTGCTTACAGGTTTTATTTTTTGTGTCTTAGGTGTCTTCCGAGACGGAGGCATATCTGCAGTCACAAATGAAATCGATTGGCGAGTTGCAAAACAATGATCAAGAAAAGCTTGACAAAGGAGAGAATGACAATGTACAGGAAAACTTTGACAGCAAAATTTCTGCAGATTTTGATGGAAGTGTGAAGCAGTTTTCTGTTCCGTCTGCAGCCCTCCCAGGTAAGTTCTTGCCATTGTCACCATTGGCAAATCTGAATGGTAAAAAAAAGAACGCAAGGTTTAATTCAAATTCAAATGTTTTCAATCTTGTCTCAACACGACTAACCTTTTTTTAAACTCTTTCTCAATCACCTTTCATGCCCAGTATGTACTCAGTTTTGCTTCTTTACACCCGCGACATCCAATGAGATGAAACATTTATTTTTTCCTCATTTTGATCTGTTGCATTTATTTCTCATGCTCTTTTTACAAAATTTGCTTGAAAAATGTAGGAAACATTGATATGTTTAGAGATTACTGGAAACTATTTTGGAATGGTTTCTTAAACTTTTTGTGTGCTCCATTCCTTCAAGTGTTATGATTGGTAGTAAAAGATCACTGTGATCTTTTTGCTCCGCCCCCGCCCCTCCCTTTAGATGGTGTGCCCATTGATGTCATCAAACCTAAAGATGCTGCCCGGAGACCTGGAATCCTTGTCAACTTTCATGGCGGTGGAACTGCTGGGGGATCTTGTAAATCGGCTGAGGCCATGTGCAAGCTCCTTGCCAGGTGAACTTTGATTGCTCAAACGGAAGGACTTCCGTAACGAGCGACCACCCCATCAAACACAATAAAGAAGAGGCCTAGACCTAACCCTACCCCAACCCCTACCCCTACCCCTACCCCTACCCCTACCCCTACCCCTAACCCTACCCTTACCCCTACCCCTACCCCTACCCCTACCCCAAGCCCTCAATTCTGTTCTGTCTCATAGTGGTCGCTCGTTACGGAAGTCCTCCTGCTCAAACTGTTTTGAAATTGTTTTTGAGTTCTATGTTTGAACAGTGTTCTGTATATAGAGTAGATGATATGAAAAGTTAGTAGAAAGAGTGCTGAATCAGTAGGTGGAAATGGATATGGCACACTGTTTGAAGCACAGACTAATGGAAAGTTTGAACATTCTTTGACTGTGCAGCGGATCTTCGTACATTCTGCCCTCTGCTTAGGGATGTGCATGTGGTGTCATTTCAAGTGCAAAGACAAAGAGGAAAGTGGATTAACTTTGTTTGTAAATAATGACTCAAAGAAGAATTTTAATGGGAAAAGAAAACTGGAAGTTATTTTCAAATGTGACTGTAACAAATGTCTAGGTTTTTGTTATAAAAATCGTGTATAATGATTTGGTTCTTCTATGAATCTGTTAAAGACTTTTAAAATAAATTGGTTCTTTATTATTTAGACTCGAAAAGTGTAGTATCCTGTTCTCTTCCACTTATCCATATCGTATTGAAACAATAAAATGTGCAGGATTTTAATCCTTGAGTTTGCTGTCTCGCCAGGGAGCTGAAGTGCATTGTGGTGAACGTTGAGTACAGGCATGGTCCCAAATACAAGTTTCCTGCCATGTTTGATGACGGCAAGGCAGTAGTCAGATGGATACACATGAACAAATCTCTAGTTGGTATGCACTATGGCGGATAAGTATGTTGTCTTAAAAAATTTTACACACATGGTGAATATTTTTCTCATTGCCCGTAGTTTTCTGAAAACTCTTTATCGGTCTGCTTTGTCTTCCTCATGTTCAGTGTTCTCTTATTGTAAGCTGTTCCCAAGCCCAATTCGGCAGCAATTTTGTCTCGATTCACCTTGAATTATACCTCAGCAGTATACATAAAAGAAAAAATTGCGGTTGACCAGACATTGCATATGGAAAGTCTTATGTTCTTTTTCAGCTGTTAGTTAATGCATGTATGTAAAAAAAAAAGGGGGGGGGTACCGAAAGGTCAAAGTGACGGATATGAAGCGAGGAAAGGGGGGGGGTGTTGGGGGGCTTGAATATATTGTCAGTTTCAGGGAAGGGGAGGAGGTTTCAGGATGTAGGTTTGGGGGAGCCAATATTTTTTTCTGACATCATATATGGCCAGATATTTTTATATTAATATCTTGGTAATATTCGAGTAATTGTGGCACTGTTAAATCTGTCTTTTTTTCTTTCTCTCTGTTATCTCTGTCTGTGTATCTTTCCTATTTTCCATGTATTGGATGAGAGGAATGTTACTGTTTGGACATGCTTCTGTTTGCTGGAACAAACAAAACAAAGAAAGCTCAGGAATACAATTTTCTGCTTTTGCAAAATCATCTACATTTATTAAAATGCATTTCCCTTACCTTCTAACCTTCCCATTAGTACGTGATGTATAATTTCAACAACAAATACTGTTAATTTTAAAAATATATAACATTGTGCAATGATGATCCCTGCCCTCAGGTGGGGAAAATGACAGCAAAATCGGTGTCATTGGATCCAATGCTGGTGGAGGAATTGCTGCCACATGTGCCTTTGAGATACCTGTAGTTGACTATCAGGTGACTTTGACTTTCTTGTTCCCTTGTACCATTCACTTTGGGGCTCATAGTTTTGGAACTTCACTGAAAGTTCTATCTCTCTGAAGCTGAAAGTTGGAATTTTTGACGAAAACCATCTGATGTTCTTTTGTTTTAATAACATTGAAAATGAAATAAGAATTTTGACAATGTTAAATGAGAATTTCATTAACCCCTGTCTATTCTCTTAATTAGTAGACAGATTGTGGGCTATTTTTTAAAATACCATCTTGTAATTTCTGTCTACTTTCTTTACACATCACTATTATTGTAGACGTCTGTGTAATCTTCTCTTAGCTGAAGCACTCTTTTAGACTCGTGCAGAATAACATTTCACTGTAGAAGCCACACCTATGTCAGCTGTTAACAAGCATCACCAACACCAGGGGGGGAATTCAACATTCAAATTTTTGTGTGGAGCAGATCTTTCTATCCTCTCTGGAACATTTTTTTGTCAGTTAGGGTACTTACTACCCATTATGCCATCTGGCGTTTAGGGTAGCAACAAAGGATCCCCAGCTCTGTCTGTTTTGGGTCATCTTGGTCAACGTCCCGCACGAATATTTCCAGGACTTCATTTCAGACATTACTGTGCATCTCCAGGTCACCTTGGGTCTGCCCCTCTTGCGATGTCCTTTGGGTGTCCAGGGAGTGCAGTCTTTACAATTGAGTCTGGTTCTCTTCTCAGAATATGCCCAATCCTTCTCCATCTTCTCCTTGTTATTATGGTTGTCATGTCCTCTTGCCTACATTTCCGTAACAGATCTCTAGTGTCCTAACGAGTGACAAAGTCCACTGTTTTTAAAATTATATACATGTGCATCTAGCAGGATATAACATGTCAGTAAGAGTGAATGAGTTGGTGGAATATAATCTCTGTTGCTTCCATAGATTCTGGTGTACCCCCTGGTGGACTGGAGATGTCAGGACCCATCCTATGAGGAGTTTGAGTTTCCAGGGAGTTGCATGAACTTTGCCGAGATGGCCAGGAAGTACGACAAACATGTTCTTGAGAAACACTTAGACATGAGGGGCCAGGTCTTTTCTGCCAGTCTAGTGTGATGGGTAGAGCCTAAGCTAAAGAAGTTGTTTTGTTATCTGTGGCCAGTCAGAGCTGTACAAAACTCGTCAGTGTATTGTGACTATAGTGTTGTTTATGCACACGGGATGTTGCCCCCCTTTTTTAAAACTGACTGATTGCATTTCATGAATGAAACGTGTAGAGTGTTTAACACACGCAATGTGTGTACAAGAGACAGCGAATAATAGGTGAACCATGAGTGAAAGTGTGTGTGAATGTGTTTGTGTGTGTGTGTATGTTTGTGGTTTTATTATAACTTTTTGGTAAGTGTTTTAAGTGTTGGAAGAAAGTTTTAAATTTTGCTTTGGTGGCGGCCGTAGTCCACTCTCGTCGATTTTGGACCACCGGGGGATCTTTAACGTGCGCTACTTGCACATGGGACCGCTGAGATTTTACATCCTTGTCCGAGAGGGCTAGATGTTAGATCTTTCCTACCATAAAATCAGGGGTGTGGCTGAAAGACAGTAGTAAGAAGGAGCCAAGGAGTAGCAGTAGAATGGCTGCAGAAAGAGTCGGGAGCCCAGAGAAGGGGGCAAAGGAGGTGAGGGGGTGGGGGCAGAAAGTGAAGATGAAAGCAGACGGCAGAACATTTTGAGAGAGCCGGAAAGGATGTGAAAGGAGAAAATTTTAAAGAAGAAAACTTTCCGTCGCTATCAGGATTCAAACCTATTGAATGAGAGGTGAATACTTTAACCTCAAGGCCACGAGAGACCCCTGTGTATATGTGTGTGTGTGAGAGAGAGAGAGAGAGAGAGAGAGAGAGAGAGAGAGAGAGAGAGAGAGGGAGAGGGAGAGGGAGAGGGAGAGGGAGAGGGAGAGAGAGAAAGAGAGAGAGAGATCCATTCATAGGTCTATTTACTTACTTGCATTGTTGGTGCATATCTGTTCTGTGTAATTTTAAAACATCGTTTTGCTTGTTCAAGTGAGTAAGGAATCAAACTTTATGTGTTTCTCTAACTGGCACTCAAACTCAATTCTCCCGATGTGATGTCATTCTGCCTATTTTTCAGGATTGTAGATGGAAGCATCAGCAGCGAGGCTGACAGAACTAACCCCCGTGCTTCACCGCTACTGCAGAATGACTTTTCCCGTCTGCCACCTACACTACTTTTCATCGCAGAAATCGACCATTTCAAACATTCAAACTATGGTATGACATGAACATTTGTTATACCTTTTTAAAAATATTTTCATGGCTCAATATCTTTGCCTCTTCACTGCCAAGTAATTTCCGTTGTACTACGAAGAGGGAAACGGGGTTGTTTGTTTGAGAGTTTTAAGTTCCTACTTATCACTAACAGTTCAGTCATGAGATTTCACTGGATGAATTCTTCTGATTAGTTTCATGACTTGTGTAGAAGATTCAGCACACAGAAGAAAGATAAAAGAGCACATTGTGAGCTGGGCATGTTGCCTGTTGTGTGGGTAGCTCAGTTGTATTGATATGATAATTTGGTAACTTTTTTTGTTTTCTGCTCAAAGATAAGCATTCTCTTTCTTACAAGTTTTAAGAATGCAGAAAGGAAGTTGCTCCTTTTAGATGGTACATTACAGCATTGTTCTCAAAATGACAATTGGCAGGGTGTTCAGTTTTGTGTATTGCTGTTGCTTTAAAATATTCTACAACCATAGTTTGGTCTTTTGTCTGTATGTTCACATGTCTGTGACACTTCAACATAGGAAATATCACTAAGTGACAATGTTTAGATTCAGATAACAGCATGCTGTTCATGTGCCATTTCTGTTTGATAGGATACAGTCTTAGAAATTTTTTGGCTGCTCTCTCATTTCTCAAAGATCTCTCAGTTGTACTATTTTATATTATTATTCATGTCACTACTTTTTCCTCAGAGTTCAAGGGCAAGCTGAAGGCTGCCAATGTAGACTGTGAGAGTAAACTGATGAGGGGTGCCATGCATGGGTTCTTCTCTCTTCCTGGTGAGTCCGCTGTTCTAAGAAAGACCCGTAGCCTTCACAAATTCAAGCAGGGACTGGTTTAGTGTGACTTTTTCTCCCAATCATTCTTCCACTGTCTGATTGTGGAATATGTAGCTTCAGATCAATGTTTTTTTTTGGTGGTAGTTTTCCCCTAAGTTATAACTAGGCCTTTTAATGGATGGTCAGAATTAAGATAGAATTTGTTGAATGTTGTAGATTGCTGTTTCCAGTTTGGTTGTTAGGTTTGTGGAAGTCACAGAATGTGGTAAAAGAAATTTCAAGTCTTAATTGATTTATTATTTCTATCTCCCTGGTAAAACAAGCTGTAGTTGACAAGTTTATGACGGTTTTAATCCCACTGTGATGGCCAGTACTGGATCATTTGATAAATAATAGCATTTGTATATCGTATATCCCAGCTTAATTGGAAGCTCTATGTGCTATATTACCTGAAACATCTAGAGGTGTCATCTGTGATTCAGAAGTTGATGTGTAATGACCCTTTAGCCTTCACGGTCGCAAACTGCTCTTGCACATTCTGCTATACCTAGGCCTGTCTTTGGTCTTAATGATGTCCATCTATGATACTCTTTCTCTACCTCTAGCTCTCCTGACTCACATCCTTCTCCCTAGCACCCTTTTCACAATGGTCTGGTGTCGTTTTAAGTTACCAAAGTATTGTATTTTTCTACCTTTTTTTTTTGTTAAGTAGGGTTTGTCTTATGTGGAGAATCTGACACCCCTCTTTGTTAGTCTTTTTTGCTTTCCAGCTGATTATGGCCTTTCTGCAGTAGCACCACATCTCATCTCAAACACAGCTATAAATTTTGTTTTCTTCTTTCGTTGCTGAAGTCCAGGTCTCAGCGCTATAAAGGAATATTGGGAAGATGTAACACTTCACCATTTTCTTTCTTAAAGGTAGAGATTATTGCCTGGAGGTAAATAATTTGTGCATTTGGCTGAATCTTGTTTGTTACATTTGCTATCCTTAAATTTATTTCTTTTTCACTTCTGCCATCGTCTGTGATTGTTGCCCCTAGATATTTGAACTGGATTGCCTTCCTTGTCTTCAGCACCTCCTGTCAATCTTTTGTTGTGCTTTCTTCCGATGAGTTTCTTAATATTGTCGTGCATCTTTTTCGAAAGTTCTGAAATGCTATGTTTGGTCAACCCTTCTATATGGCTGTGAATGCTGGACAATCACTAAAGACAGTGAAAATAAAATAGAAGCTACAGAAATGTAGTTTCTTAGGAGACTGCTAAGAGTATCGTGGAAGGAAAAGAAATCAAATGAGGTAGTGCTTGATGAAGCCCACGTTGGTCGCTCAATGTTAAAAACAATCAGGAAACGACAAATGCAGTTTTTGGGACACATAAATAGACATAAGGGTCTTGAACACCTAGCTCTCACTGGCAAAATTGAGGGCAAGTGAGGCAGGGGAAGACCCAGAACAACATACTTGGGTAACCTAAACTTGGGTAACAGGGAAAGATCAGGGAAACGTAGCTTTTTTGAGAGCATCCGAGCAAAGGAATGAATGGAGAACCATGATCGCTGATGTCTGTCGCAGATCTGGCACTGGATGATGATGATGATGATCTTTCTCGAATTATTTTACCTATTTGCTATATTTATTTCAGAACATTCTCTATCAACCCAAGTTGTATTTTAGTTGGATTAACTTGTCTAAGTCTTTGTATTCGGGTATATTTTTTGGCTCTCTTCCTCTTTGTCATAAGATCTAAGATTTCCTCAGTGATACATTTTTTTCTGTTATTCTCTCTTTTATTAGCATTCTACTCCACATGTGATGCTATCACTGAAGTTTTTCCATTTAACATTTATCTTTTCATTGCAAGTTTCTCTTTTGTATTGTTTCATTGCTTCATTTTTGAGAACTTCGTGTCTGTTTTTAACTTCCACTTGGTACCCTATTCTTTCTTCTGTTTTCAATTTCCCATTGTCAGTATAAACGTTTGTTTTCTTACCAGCCCTGTTCTTCAAATCCTTCAGCTTTATGGTAACTTTTGCAATGAGGGAGTTGTGGTCAGGGTTTATGTCAGCTCCTGGATATGTTTTACATTCTTTCATGCTGTTTCTCAATCTTTTTCTTATCTTGATGTAATCCAGTTTGTGTCTGTCAACATGTCCAGGGCTTTTCCAGGTATATTATCTTCTGGCTAGTTGTTGAAAGTAGGGTTTTGCCATCCTTACATTCTTCTCACAAAAACTTACGTCTTTCACCTCTTTTGTTTTGTTCTCGTATTCCTTTGTTGCCAGTTATGTCTTGGTATTTTCCCTTTCCAACTTTAGCATTTAGGTCTCCCAATACTTCATTCGATTTTACTTCTTTCAGGATCCTATCTGTTTCTTCATAATATTCCTCAATCTTTTAATCTTCATTTGTAGAGGTTGGGGTATAAGTATGGAGTATTGCGATGTTAAACAGTTGCTTCCATTTTCGGTGTGATGTTTCTTTTGCTCATTGGCCTATATCTCATAGTCTATTTCTCAAACTTTTCTCTCAGGAATATTTCTACTCCATGTACATATTGCCAGCCACCAGATTGTATGAGGAGGAAGCTATTTTTCTATAGTATACACCTTCATTGGTCCATCTCGTCTCTCTGATATTCATAAATTCAAGTTCACTTACTTCTTTTACTAGATTATCTAAATTCCCTGGTTTGTAGAGGGCTCTCACATTCTATGTTCTATATTATTACCCTTGCCAATCCTAGAACACTCGGAAACATTCTCAGCTTCCTGGAAAGCATATAGCGCAACTGACCAATTAAATGCTCAAACACTAACAAACTGACAAGATCTTTCGCTTATTCCAGATAAGTTGGAATCCTCTGCAAAGTCTAAGTGAAATGAAACAAAATGGGCAGATTAACCCTTAGTAATTGTTTTTTTCTACTCAATTAGATAGGTGTAAACAAGTAAATGTGCTAGAGTAAATTTGACATATGTTGGACAAGAAAGTTCAGGGATAAGATCTAAATTATACCATGAGTGGTTTATGAATTTGTTAACAAACAGTTTCTGTAGATCTATAGAGTGTGGGTGAAGATCAGGTCTGCCTAGATGATGTGTTTCTTCTCGATAGTTTGTTTCAACTTCCCTGAATTGTATACATTTAGGATGAATTTGTAAGAACCCTGTGTTGTTTCGATAATGAGTGAGTATTTGAATAAATACTTCATTTTTCCTCAGGATGAAAGGCTTTTGTAACATATGTAGTGGTACTTTTGTGTTCATATTTGATATATTACATTCATTATACGTAACTTCTTTTGCACAAAGAGGTCTTACTGAGTGCATTTTCAATCTCATAGCTTGTCATCCTTCATGGACTTTCGTTTAAAGACCTGTATGCCAGTGCCCTTTATAAAAAAAAGATCTTTCACCCTTTCAATCAATCTTCATATTATTTACAGGTATGTTTCAAGAGGCCAACCAGCGGGCTAGAGACATCATAGCGCAGTTTTTCAAGAAGCATGGAGTCTCTTAATGACAGTGAATGTTGTGGCGAACGTTAGCTCCACTGACCGTACAAGAGACTTAGTTTTGTGATGCTGAGACTGTGACATGCAGACTGTCAACTTGGGTTGTTTATTAAATGTAGGTCAACAAATTACTGAGGATGAGCATAACATTTGTTTTTCGGTATTTATACGAACATTTTTGATGTTTCTTTTATTGTCAATGAATGAAAGTCCCCCCCCCCCCCCCCCCCCCCTCTCCGAATACTACACATCTTGATATCCAGCCTATAACATCATGGATGTAGACACTTTGCAACCTTGTTACTTAACTTGGCATAGATGTTTATTATGTATTACTTTTTCTATAAAGAATTGTTCATAGAAGTCGTTTTTTTTGTTGCAATTTGGTAGTGGGAAAAATGACAGTTGAGGGTTAGTGCTTAGTTGGTACTGCTGCTATACAACCTGCAGAATTCCTTTTTATTTGTTATTCCTGCTTGTTTTCCTCCACACTGTTTGACATTCACTTTGTTGATGTGCTATATTCAGTTTCTGCCTGCGAGTTTATCACACAAGTCATTCTGAGAATACAGTCTTTTTTGTCTTTCTCTTTGAATAATTTCTTTTATGTATAGTAGCACCCTTTTTTTCTTTTTTTCTATTCATATTCATTGGCTATTTAGCCTGAGGCTTCTTTTTTTCCCACTTCGAAATGATTGCCCTATACCTGTAGACTTTTTCTTCTCTTCAACCTTAACAAATTACTTAGGTACATCGTAAGTGGTGAACATGGGATGACTTCATGTTTGATATATTGTTTTTTTCTCTTGTCCATCAATATTCAGTTCAAACCCGAAAGAAATTGATGAGATTCTCCACTTCAAGAAATCTTGATTGTGTCTCTGAATGTTTTTATATTCTGAAACTTGTATTGGATGCGTTCAATGAAAGCCTGACTTTATTCTCGTTGCTTGTCATTTTTAATATTTTTTTGGTTTTTTGCTCGCAAAGTCACTTAAGATAGTTTTGCCGTCAATGACATAATTTGGTCCTTACTATAAGGTAGTAGAATTCTCTCTGATACTAAGGTTGATGAAGTTTGTAGGAAGAAAACAGCGGAAGTGTTTATAACTGTTACATTACTATAAATGGTGCTGTTTTTTTTATTTTGTTGGTAACTATTCTAAGTCATGTTGTTTTTAAATTTTTTAAAATGAAACAGTAGCGTGCCGTTTTTAAAAATGCAGACTGATGCATCTCAGTGGTGTGAGATTCAATGATTATTTTGACGGTGGGTGAGATTATTCTTTTTTTGATATGTCTTTATTCTACGGATTTTGCTTCACTGGAGTTTTTTGAAAACGGGTTAGTTTTTGAACGCCATCATATTCTGCATGTGATGTCAATACAGCCTAGCATGCATGTTGTGAAACACACAGACATAGTGGACAGGTTTTCAGGTCCTGTATTTTTTCTTGTACATGTACATTCTTTGTATTTAGCTCATACATAGTGAAATTTGTACGTTACAAAAAGATTTTCGCTTCCCGCCAATTTCTCTTTGTGCATGCCAGACTGTATTTCCTCCTGCTAACAGTCCAGTTAGTGCCAGACATCTTGTGAGTTTCACATGACTTTCCTTATTATTATAATAATTGTCAGTGATAACCAGGAACTGCCTGTGTCTGCTGTGAATGTCAAAGTTACTGAGATAAGGTCACAATAACTCTTCCTTGGCTTCAAACATCTAACAGCAGTCAAAATGAATGGTGTGTCTGACTGCAGTCATAACAGATGGTGTGTTTGAATGCAGTCATAAGGAAAAGTGTCTCTAACTGCAGTCAAAATGAATGGTGTGTATGGCTGCAGTAATAATAGATGATGTGAATGGCTGCTGTCGTAATGTGTGATGTTTCTCAAAGAATTCCTGGAATTCTGGAATACCCCTGAAGTTTTTCTTGGCTCTGTTTTATGTTAACCCTATCCGTACATTGTGTTTTACTATCGTATCCTTACAACGTTTGGAACTCTGCTACCACTTTCCAAAGAGGAAATTACTCGTTAATCCGATCCGTACGCTTTGCATAGCTGTCTGTCAAAATGATTTTTTGAGAAATACTGAAAGTTTCAAAGAGATTCTCGTACTAGAAGCATTCTAAAATGTGAAGAATACAACCCTGGGGGTTCAAAATGACCCCTGGGCATACGGAACACAATATTGAACATTTAAATGATGGTGTAAACCTTGGTCCCTAATCAGGGCTCCTGGCTGACATGGTGGTGAAAACATTTAAAAAATGGAAAGAGAACTATTGGGTTGTTTAACTTTCAAATCCTCAATTTTAATTGTTGGCCAAGATTATAACCAACTGCCCCTATGGAGCTGACAACTTGGGTACAGTCTGCTGTATTTGTATTTTTTCATACTTTTTACATGTTTCTACTGATCACAAAGTTATCAGAAATGATATTGTAGTTTTCTTGCCTTTTTGTTCCTGAGTTAGTGCAATCATTTTTTGGGGTTTACTTATTTTATAGAATTGTTTTATTGCAATCAACTGTTTTCATATCTGTGCAATCAGTCACTGTTGAGAAATCCATTTAACACAGATATTTTATATTTGAACTTCAGCAGAAATATTGAACACAGAAAGATTACACAGAAGATATCAAGACAGTCTTGATACAGGCTAGTCGTGTGCTGTGCACTTTCATTCTATTTGTTGTTGCTCATTTTAGAAGATATTTTTAGGGAGATGTGAGATTTTCTAATTTTCTCGTCTACGTGCAACAAAGACTTTGTTTTAACATTATTCATAGTGTTCAGCTAGAGCAGATAATGTTGGGTCTTTTTATTTGTTGTATGGAATACAATTATTGCTCAATTCTGGCATTTAAAAAAATCTGTGCTGTCAGTTTGTGCCAAGTTTGTTTTTGAAGTATTGTTGATTTTATTGTGTTTTACAGTGTTGCAGTATCCTACTTATATATGCAATGAATCATCAAAACAGTCAAGTTGTCAGTTCTTGTTCTTGAAGTCTTTATTGAACTTGGACAAGTTTTCTTAAGCATCATATAGATTTGTCAGAAGAATAAACTACATGGTAACTTGTGATGTCATCAACACATTGCCTTTTGTGTTTGTGGATGATGATGGGAAAAGGATGTCGGCGATTGAATTGAGACAAGCATTATTACATCAGGAAGAGAGGCAGAAATAAGTATCAAGCGATTATCAGAAATGTAACCGGCTGAGAGAAAAATATTCTAGAAATAATGAGAAAAGTTGTGCCCCACTCGGGTTCAGACTACAGCTGTCACTGCTGTGTTAAATTTGTGGTCACTTATGCTGCTGCGGCTGATGGGTGTAAGTACCAGTATGGGAAGTTGAAAAATGGCAATAGTGAAATTTTGGATGCTGCTTAATGTGGTTTCGTTTCATGCTCAAGCGATAGACAACATTTTTTTGAGGCATTGCTCTTAAAACCCATTAAATATTGGTATGTAATTATTCATAGGCATCATCGCCATGGTAACCTTGGGTATTTTTCTTTTGAAACGGCACCCTACTTGTTGCTTTGGATGTTATTATTTATTGAGCAAACTTGCAGCTGCAGTTTTTTGTGCCATTTTGTGTTTTTTGCACCTTTGTTGATGTGGGACCAGATTCTTGGAAATTCTGGAGCGTAATAGATTTCTGGAGATTCAATGCTTAACTGCTAATTTTGCTGAGCTTTTTTATCTTGAAGATTTTTCTCATTATATTTTAATTGCTGATGTTGGTGTTTTCCCCCTTTTTTATGTTTTTTAAAACTTGTTTCAGCTTAATGTATGGGCCAGTGGTGAAGTTATGTTGTCCAGTATTTTTGGCTGGGGGATGTTATTTGCTGTTATGGAAATCAGGTTGATATGCTTTTCTTTCTCTCCTGAACATATGAGTAGGGTTATGGAGAACAGTAGTAGAAAGTTGTAGTTTTTACCCTTTTTTGTCTGTTTTCATGCTTTTTAAAGCGGATATATTATTTGTGTATGTCTTGCAACACCTCACAGTGAGATATAGTTCAAAATTGTGGCTCAGGTGTTCTCATTATGAGCTGTGGTTTGTTGTATGACCATCATTGTTTGTGGACCTCTCTGTGGTCTGCCTGGGGAAGATAGAGAAAATTACTGGAGTTGTACATGAGTTATATTGGTTTCTAATGTAGTGAGTTGTTGTTTCTTGAAGACTTCAGTGAATGTTGGCTCTCTCTCTCTCACTCTCTGTCAGGGATGATTTGTAAAGAGTTCCACCAAGTGTCAGTGGGTTTGTGTGATTACATTTTCCAGTAGTTCCTTGTTGGCATATTTTTGTCAGTGGGTTCATATGATTACATTTTCTAATAGTCCACTGTTGGTATTTTTGATTGGGGACATCATCTTCTTTAAGCCTCTGGTGTTTCTCTCATATAAACCTTTGTTTGTCTTAATTCTCTTGTTCTGTCTCTCATCATTGTTTAGTTTTGTTTCTTTCTTTTTCACTCATGTATAGAGTTTTGATTGCCAATACATGTACTTATTATATCTTTGAACCTCAAACTTTTCTCTTGTCTGATTGTCTGTATATTTCTGATTTTCACCAAGTGAAGATTTTCCCATAGCTGTATTCCTATATATGCATTGTACTGTTTTGCAAGTGAATCAATACTGGTGTGTGACCTTTTCTGTATTTGTAGTAATGACAATGAGAACTAGTAGCCGATTATAGAATCTGTGTATAGATATTTACTATTGCTGCCTTTGCTTCTCATCATTTGCCTTGATATTCACTGATTTCATATTAACCAAGATGTTTTCATATAAGCTTGTACATGACACTCTATACTTTTGTTCTGTAAGCTATTACTGTTGGTTTTTTTTCCATCATTTTCTAGGATACAAATTCGTCCATGTATTATAAATTATACATATTATACTTGATTATTCAACTATTTAGAGCCTCCATAAATAGATTTACATGAGGCACAGGTGACAAAAGCAAATATATTACTCTATTAGGAAGACATATTATAATACAAGTACCTCCCGTGAAGTGAGTCTGTTCTGTTTATTTACTTATGATAATGTTCGTTTATTTTTATATAAATGAGTTGTTGACCATAACAAACATTAAAGAAGTGTATTTTTAGAATTGTATGTGACACGCTTTACATGTTAGCCCTTTGGTGCTCTTTCTCATGTTATGAAATCCACAGAGCAAAGTCCATATCTGTAATTTTCTCCGTTAAATTCAAATGTGGTTTATGCCATGAAATCCCACTTGTTCTTGTTCTAAGAGCATTTTGCATTATTTTATCTCGTTATGTATATATATCTACAGTTATGTGAAGCAGATTAGGTTAAAAGACAATCAACTTTTGTGTGGCTGACCTGGGTTTTGATCAGTGCGAAAGGCATTTATCTGTTGAGTATGCAAATTTTGATGTCAGTCAATTAAAAAAATAGTCATAATTGTGTTTAAAGGGTACCGGTACAAACCTCATGTAAGAAAAAAAAATGGCTGATAATATTATTGAGCCATTTGGGGGTTATATTTTCACTTCCCCTTTTTTTTTTAGAATTTGGATATAAATATATCAGTCTGCCAAATTGAACCTATATAATATATATGTGTGGAGAAAATCGTTTGTTTGCAGGCAAGGATTCTATGCTGTTTGATACTTGGTCATTGTTGTTTGCTATTTGTGAGCTAGACTGTGGTTAGTATTCTTTATTCTTTCTATCTTTAAATGTTGCACAATAAACATCTTGATGACTAAAAGAATAATTCAATCTGTTCTAAATGTATTACATATGTTAATACTTTTCAATAGTATAATATAATATCAGAGCACTTGGAGCATGGCGAGTCTGCATTTTAGTTTTTCTTTGTTCTAGTATTTCCTTTTGTGCGGTTTTATGCCTCAGATGCACACTGTACACGTACAACATACATTCGATATATATATTATGTTGAGTAATTTTTGTTTGTTGAATTTACTTACTTAATTAGCTGCACTCCAGGTTTTTTCATCTTGCCTTACATCCTGCTTTCAACCATGAAGTGCTATCTGCTTTATATGTAATAAAAAAGATAATCCGTGAGAGTGATGGGGTCTTTGGTTTGTCCTTTGTTGGGTTGGTTTTTGTCTGTGGAGAAATTTACTTTACTTTTGTTTTTGTAAGAGTACTCGCAACACAATTAAGTCATATATGTGTGGAAGATTAATGGTGTTACAAACACAAAAGAAAAGGAGGAGAGACAGCAGCTGTGGGTTGTGAAGGGCTCACGGGCTTGAGCCCCTGCCCCCTCCCCACCCACCACCCCAACTCTATCCCAAAGTAAATGAAAGTTTCTCCATAATGAAATAAGCAGTTGAAACCGTTATGACCGCACGCAATGAACACAAAGTGATCAACTTGGCGGCTTGCTCGCTTATCCAATCACTGTTGTCACCGCTTACAACTATAGTAATCCAGCAGCCAATTAAAATGTCTTTAGAGCTCAGCAAAGATGAGCCCTTTTCCCACAGCCTATCCTTAATGAAACTCCTCTTATAAAAAGGTAGAAGACTGGGAAAAATAACACTGTACCGAGGGCTCACGCTCTCCTAGCCCTGATAATGGGGTGAAAGTTTACGACACACTTTCCCCCACTGACACAGATACCTATGCGCCCATTGGTTCTTTGTTGGGTACGTTCAAATTTCTCGACTACGGCCTAATCCAGCTCATAGAAGTATTATGTTTGAAGTGCTGTGTGTGTATGTTTGTGTTTGTGCCGCTGAGATTTAAGTTATAAATCAGGTCGAACTACTTGTAAGGCAATTTATTAATCACACGAAAACTAATTAGAGGAAATTTGGAGGTGAATCGGCTCGTCCCCACCATCAACAAGAATTTAACTAAGAACAAAGAGATAGAAAACAAAGGCAACTCTTCTTTTTTTAATGGTACTCAAACTGCCGTGGCTCACCGTGAGTATATAAAAAAATCATCACTGTTTAATTCTTATTGCTTGATATTTGGTGGTAAAGAACTGGAAGCAACCTAAGCCCCACCCAAATTTTGGTCCACCCACCGCCACTGAGGAGAGATAAGGACGACATAACTATTGTACAACAATATCTTTTACACATTATACATCATCACACTCACACGTTTTCCTGTCTGTCTGTCTGTCTGTCTGTCTGTCTGTCTGTCTGTCTGTCTGTCTGTCTGTCTTGTTTCTTCCCTGCACTAAATGATCATTATTGTTTCGACGTGCCCCTGTAAAATTCAACTTTCACTTGTTAGGAGAAAGGGGCGAGGGTTTGGAGGGAGCCGTTGGTAGGTAGGCCATATTGCTTCTTTAAAAAATCGGTCCCTGCAGTATCTGTGTCTTGCTTTATCCCACCTCAGTTAAAAATTTGACCATGTCATTGGGTTTTTTTTCTTAATAAAAAACAAAAAACAAAACAACAACGTTCTTTTTACGCCTCCTCAACACAGTTTAGCTCATTTGTAGGCGGGCTTCAACCCTGCCGGTCAGGGCCAACTCACGCCGAGAGGGGTCAATTGCGTGCGTTGGCTTAGCAACACCACAAGCTGTCATGTCGATGTGCGAGAGAACGAGAGAATGAAAGAAAAAACATTCTACAAACAACTAAGACACTAACAAAAATGCCCGTGAGTGGGGACACGACCTGAATAAAGATCAACTCAAGGACCCGAGAACGGACTGCAGAAGAGAGCAGAAGAATTAGTAGACCAAGACAAGTCTCAAGAGGAATGAGAAAGAGGTAGTGTATAGATCTCTCTCTCTCTCTCTCTCTTCCCCCCCCCCTCTCTCTCTCTCTCTCTCTCTCTCTCTCTCTCTCTCTCTCTCTCTCTCTCTCTCTCTCTGTCTCTGTCTATCTTTCTCTCTCTCTATCCATCTATCTAATAATAATAATAGATAGCATTTGTATAGCGCATATCCCCGCTCAGCAGCAGGCTCTATGCGCTTTACACTATATTACTATCTATCTATCTATCTATCTATCTATCTATCTATCTATCTATCTATCTATCTATACATTGGTACATACATTTATGAAATATTATTATATCCAGTTTGCATAAATGCATAGTGATATATTTATACAATATATCTAGTGTGTGTATGCGCACGTGTGCATGTGTGTATGTGTGATGTACACGATATGTATGTGTGCCTGTGTGTGTGTGTGTGTGTGTGTGTGTGTGTGTGTGTATTTATGTGTGTGCGCGCGTGTGTGCGTGTGTTTATGTGTGTGTGTCGTGAGGCAGTGGTTAGGACAATAATTGCTTTGTCGTATCTCCAATGTCTGTTGTTCGATCTCCCAACAATCCGTGTTAATATTCAATATTTCCTTTCAGAGAATCATAGATCTAACGTCGCTCGTCATAAGTACACGAAAGCGAAAGTGGTATTTCAAGGAAACAACATGCTGAACGAAGTACCCCCCCCCCCTAAGAAAAAGGAAAAAAATACACTCCATTTTGTACAGAAACTGCTCAAACGGTGCTATGCAAAGAGGTTATGAATAGTAGGCCTACTATATAACGTCTTTGGTATTTTGCAAAGCAGAATCAACATCAAAAGTGACATAAACAAACTCTGAGCACAAAACAACCGACATTTATTACTTTTTATGATTGTTAACATCAAAGCAGCATTTACTTCTACTAGAGGTGTAAAAATACCTAAGCAGTGAATCTACAGCGAAACGAAAATTCTGATGTTGCATAAAACACAATGTAGACAAAAAAATCGTGTGGGTAGAAAAAGTCAATAGGTTTACATTGTACATGCAACTTTTTCACGATACTGGACGGGTTTAGTAAGATACTGTTAGGTACAATAGTGCCTTCATAAACAGATGAAAGAGCTGAAACGTGTGCAGCTTTTAAACGTGGTAGCCTATTTCCAGAGGCAAACATTGAATTAAAGGTCTACTCACCCCCCCCCCCCTCCCCCCAAGTTGATTCGAATGATAGTTTCCGGCCTCAACGTTTTGAGAACAAAGAGTATAATTCTAATCATTTAATAGAATACACCACACATGATTAAACAAAACAAACCCTCCAAAAAACCCAAACCCCCAACAAAACAAAATCCTCATAATAAAATGCTGGCAATTAAGCAGCGTTTTTGTTGTTGTAATTTTCAACTATCACTGGTAGGCATATTTCATTGTCATGGTGAAAATCTATAATAACAAAATCAACCAATCGATCATGAACTATAACGTTTGCAAAATCAATCTACTATCACAGACATATTTTATATTTAGGCTCTGGGTAATATGGGATAAGGCCATGTTTATTTTCACATACACATTCGCATAAAAAGTAAAGCATGTGCATTTCTCAATTCTGTCTGTCTGTCTGTCTGTCTGTCTGTCTGTCTGTCTGTCTGTCTGTCTGTCTGTCTGTCTGTCTGTCTGTCTGTCTGTCTGTCTGTGAAAATGGTCACTATGTTACAAAGTATTAAATGTCGTACGATTTTGCCGTTATCATTACTAAGGGTGCACGCCAACTACGGGTGCACGCCAGAGAACGGCAGTGGGGCTGAGATTCAATAAACGTGTGGCTGATAGATGCATCAACATCATTCACCTATACGCTTACTTTGTCGGCAACCTTCAATGACTTTTTCATGTTCTCGCAAAACGCACACTGTGTATGTTCAACAGCTCTCAAAGAATGCATTACTTTCAACCTTGAAGTGACTAGAACTAGTACATGTATTAGGCATTGTCAATGAGGCTGGTGAACTTGCTGTGTTGCAAACAACCAGCCAGCACGACGTGTGATTGTAATTGTCAAGTTTAAAGCCCACACCGACACAGCCAACCTTGGATGAATGTGATACACGCACAGCATTCCAGCGAAAAGACTGGGATACAATTATATGGAATCAAACTTCCGCTCTCGGGAATCAGACTTACGTCTTCTGCGTGTAACAGAGAAGAGGCTAACAAGTATGATGATGGTATTCGCAGAAAGTGACAGCATTACAAGGCCAAGTAAATAGAAGGGGGAATCAGACACTTTAGGACAGTTTAACCAGAGAGTTTTACAATATTACTGTTGCTGTAATTGTAGGCTCTCTGATTTAACTAATCATCACTTGTTTGCAAAAAAACTGAGATATTTGCAATAGAGGGAAACACAATAAGATAATCAGATAGCTCTTTTGCTACTAAACATTTGCTGGTAATTAGCATGGCTCAGAATAATAATAATAATATATTTTCACTGTTTTATACAAATATAATTCTTTTTACGATTTACAATCTTTCAAAACAAAACTTGTTATCACTCTTGATGAAAACAAAACGGGTATCTACTTTAACAAAACATCAACGTTGATAATAATATTCTTATGAAGACAGAATTAATATGATTTGTATCACAGACGGAAAACTCGAAGAGAGTCTATCGCCGTTAACATAAAGAATGAATATGGAAACAGCAGAAGTACGTTACGTAAAATAAGTCACAATACTGCCTTAAATAAAGCATGAATTATGGCAATGAAACAAAAAGCAACATGGCAAGTTGAGCAACCGTGGCATAGAATTATAAATCTAATCATTGTTAAGGGCATATAGGTCAAAGGGCATACAGGTCAAAGGGCATACCGAATTTAAAAAAAAGCAAAGCTGCGCGTAAAAGTCAAAGGTCATAAAGCCTGCAAAGAAAAAGAGAGGGGTAAGAAGTAAACACTAAGCGTTCGTTAACAATAATCTCTTGAACTTGAAAAGGGGGTGTGGGGTGTGGAGAAGAAAGGGTGTGGGGGACAGAAAATGAGAAGATAGAGGATGAGTGAAAAAAAGAGAATAACACATACAAACACTCACCCCCTCCACAGAAACACAAACATATACACAACGTACAAGCTACTCACACACACACACACACACACACACACACACACACACACACACACACACACACACACACACACACACACACATATATATATATATATATATATATATATATATATATATATATATATATATAAAGAGAGAGAGAGAGAGAGAGAGAGAGAGAGAGAGAGAGAGAGAGAAAGACATAGAAAGATTTACAGAGAGAGGTATAGAGATCGATCGATGGATAGATATATAGATAGATAGATAGATAGATAGATAGATAGATAGAGAGAGAGAGAGAGAGAGAGAGAGAGAGAGAGAGAGAGAGAGAGAGAGAGAGAGAGATAGAGATAGAGAGAGAGGGAAGGGAGGGCTAGAGGCTAGCTGCAAACATAATATTGTATACTTTGCCCTTTTCACAACTTTTTTTCGTTCAGGATTTCTAATCCAGCTTCAAAGAAAAGCCTTCATTTTGAAGATAAATCTTCAGTTTTAACTGTTCCCTGTGACTACTTATTCTCTTCGTTTTCATCTTCCTCGTCCTCAGCTGCCTCATCGCCATAGAAGTGACCGTCCACACAATCGTCGTCGTCGTCAATCTCCGAGTCCCCCTCATCATCATCGATGTCGTCATCGTCACTGTCGTCATTGACCGTCTCAAAAGACCTGTTAGTCGGACCCAACAAATGAACACCACCGCCTCTGTTCAGACCCAGCATCCCAGTCTCTATGTCGACTTCGCTGAAATAGAAATAAATAGGGTAGAAACATTACGCAGCGAAACAGGAGGGAAACATGAGTGTCAATAATGATAGTTTATTTTTCTTTTTATCATCGGTATTTTTACACCATCATCGACACAATTTAGATCATTTAGGGGGCAGGCATCAGAGCCTGTCTGTCGAGGCCAACTCTGCTTAAGAGGGATATAGCATTCCAGCAGAAAAAACGAGATACTTGATACATATTTCACCCCACGTGGGAGTCGAACTCCGTCTCCTGCGTGTTATCTAAACGCCGGTATCGTTTCTGAGAGACCAGAACTTAAAACATGCCAGGGGTGTGCCATTAGTACATTAGCTCAGTGTATATCATGCTAGGCTATGGTTCGATGAACATGGTTCGAATTTCGAAAGGGGTCCAATTTCTTGAATAGTTTTAGTGTATCGAAAGGGGTGGAGCAATGTGACACAAACACAAGAAAACATTTGCCACAAGTACATAGAAACATTTTACAATAGCGTGTGCGGAGATTGGAATTTAATACAAACACAAGAAGCCATTTGACACAAACACGCGAAAACAATTGATGGAAACGCAAGAAAATATTCGAAACAAAGGCATGAAAACATGATACCAACACGTAGAAATATTTGTCACAAGCACGTGAAACATTTGATCCAAGCAGAAGTAAAAAATCTGGCACAATTACATATATCGAAACATTTGTGCACACACATGGAAACATTACTTTGACACAAACACACGAAAATATCTGATGCAAATATGAGAAAACATTGGCCACAAACATATTATGGAAAAAGAAAAACTTTTTTGACAAAAGCACAAGAAAGCATTTGTGACAAACACAAGGAAATATTTGACACCAACAGGGGGAAACATAGTTTGGCGCATGCACGTAGAACTATTTGAAACAAACAACATATGGAAACATTTGATACAAACACAAGAAAACATAATTTGACATTGCACTCACTCCATAATGTCCGTAATGCCAAAGTGTATCTGAAACCCGAGGCTGTCCTCGGACAAGATGTTGATGCTTGGAGTGTTCCGTATGGTCACCAGTGTTCCCTCTACCGAGCCGTCCGAGTCGATGCTTGACATTCGGCTGTTGGGAAGGTCAATTAGTGCAAAGCTTATAACAAACTGATTTTTTCTCTCTTTTTTCGCATAACAGACCCCTCCCCTCTCTCTCTCTCTCTCTCTCTCTCTCTCTCTCTCTCTCTCTCTCTCTCTCTCTCTCTCTCTCCATTTATTACTTTGTTCTCCCTTCGACGGTCATCCTTTTCACTCATTCTTTTATTTTCTTTAATCCTCCACATTTTTGTCGTTCTCCTCCACTTTTTGCTATTTTCCCTGCTTTTCGTTAACATGCTTTCAATCCCCTCACCCTCTCCATTTTTTATCGCCATTCGGCTGTCATGTTTCCCATTCTTTTCTTTAACCCTCATCATTTTTTTCTCCCTCTGTCCCCCCCTTTATCTCCTTCCTCTTTTCCTCTTCTTCTCCTCCTTCTCCCAATCCTGCTTTTTTCTATTTCTTCCTCGTATCTTTCACCTCTTTCCCTTCTTTTCTTTTTTTCATTTTTCAAATTATTTCCTCCCCTGCCGTTAACCAACTTCCCGCTTGATCCTCTCGTCTGTTTTGTATATCCACTTCCACCCCGCCCCCTCATTTATTTCTTCAATCCCTCAACTTCATCCACTTCCACACACCCTTATTTTACGTCACTTTTCTTCTTTCACCCGTCCATCCATTCCAACCACCCCCATATTTCTCTCCCCCTCCCTATTTTCGTCTTCACCCCTTCCTCCTTCTTCTTTCCCTCTTTCTCCAGCTCCACCCCATTCAACTACTACTCCCCCTCCCCTTCCTCTTCTTCTTCCCTTCCTCCGTCCATTCCCACCCCTCCCTTCTCTTTCGCCACCTCTTTCTTCTCCCCTGCCTCCGTCCATCACTCCTCCCTCTCCCTCCTCCACTCACCTGGGCCGTCTACGAGAGCCACTGGCTGCCCCAGATCGAAGTCTTCCTGCTGTCATCGGCCTGGACTCTTTCCAGGAGGGGGACTGATTCTCAGAACTCTCCACCTCATTGCCTGATTAAAATGGGGAAAAGTATTGCTCTCGCATTCATATTCCCTACTGTCTTCCACACATCGTCATCATCATCATCATCATCATCATCATCATCATCATCATCATCATCATCATC